TGTGATGTTATTCTTCAGGACGAGGACTGCAGAAAGCCTTTAACTCCACCTACTCATCTGCTTTCTTCATTAAATAGTTAATAGCTATACTGGGACACCATTACGATTAAATTAATTAAATTAAGATTAAATTACCTACTAAAGTCAGTCTATTAAAGCAAGAAGCATTGCCCCTTCACAAAACATGTCCTCACAAATCAGCTGTAGATGTATCTTTATCTCTGACTTCTTCCTAATAAAGAAGTTATTGCCTAGTTGGAGACATGCACAGGAAGAGAACAATAAAATGCTTCATGTTACAATAGCCACAGAAGCAAAAACATAATTTAGATTTTTAAATGTCCTAAAACAGAATGCAGTCAGGAAGTGATGGTGCATATTTTGCTACCATCCTTTATTCCTTAACAAATCAAACCATCTTGCCATCTGATAGGAATAGGTTAGAGAGCATTAATACACAAACATTTCATCTTCTAAAACAAGTTTGTTATTGGGTTTTTTGAATAGGTTGTTTTTTTTTTGTTGTTTGTTTTTTTTTTTTTTCTACTGTAAGTCATTAGCTGTTTTGCTGCTAAATGTTGTGGAATCTTTTTGCTGACCATATATGCACAATGTATTCCTACAATCTAGCATGAATATAACCTATGGAAGACAGCATCAAAAAAAGCACCATAGAAAGGGGAAAAAAAATGTTCTTCCCTTGGTGCCTTGCAGATGGGGATGACAGTAGTGAACACAGTAGTGAATTAGTATTTTGGGAGCCTGTACCAGCAGTATTTCTTTCCCTGGTGATTAGCTCAGTTTGTCAGTGAATTAAATTAGTTCAGTTTCTCCTCTGAGTTACCTAGAATTAAGTGCTATCCATCCTTAATTGAGATGTAGGATAGGAGGTGGGAGAGGATAGTACATAACTTGCATATTCTTAAGCAATGCCATTAGCATAACAAAAAGGGAAAAAATTAAGAACTTTTCTACTGTAAGTCATATCTGTAAAGTGAGCATCTCAGTAGTTCAGCTTTAAGAAATCAAATAAAAGTAATTTCAGGTAAAAGCTGAGTGGCTAAAATGAACAAGTATTTGACCAAACAGAGAGGATGTCAATATGGACATAACTAAGCACGTAGCACTAAACTTTTTTAGTGTATGATAACTTCTTTCCTCTTGCTTAAACATTAGTCTATGAAGCATTAAATACTTGAACATATTGCCCTCCGTAAAATGCTAGGTATTTTTCACTTGCTATATCTGGTGCTTTCTTTCTTCTACTCACACTTTTTGCTTTTACCATTCCACTGTCTGCCCTCTGTTTAAAGCTACTTACTTTAATGTCCCATTGAATTTCAGTCTGCTGAAGGCATTACGCTCAGTCTCTTTCATTTTTATGTAAATGGGAGATGCTATTTGCAGAGCCCCACAGACTAAGCAGTGGCTGGACCTTCATCTTGAGTGTCAGCTTCCTAGGAACTCCCCATGCTCTACTTTGAAAGACATGAATTGTTCGGAATCCTGCTTCCTTGGCTGGCTTTCACAACCCAAAATCTCAGCTATGTTGTGAGCCAGCAGTTATTATATTTGTCTAGAGCACTCTGTCTTAAAAGTTACATCTTTTCCATTCTTTTAGTTCTGTTTTGCTGTAGCACTTGAGACCTAAATCACAGAACATGTGCCTTACTGTCAAGAAAAAAATCTATGTATCGTGCAGATTTCAGATAAAAATCATTATGTTTTGAAAGGTTTCAAGAACCTCCAAAATAAAGTAACTATATGTTACTTTTATTCTTGCCCCACTATTTTTATCTCCAAAAGGATTCATCCAGTACCAGAAGGGAATCAAATAACAATATTTAAATTACAAAGTAGTTATGTCATAGTCAAAAGAAATACGAATCTAGCCATGACTTAAACATCACTTGCTACAATCTGTTGCATATATGTAATAATACTCCTATCTCACATAATCAGCAGGCTACCTGGACTTGTGTTTTTTTTTTTTTATTTATTTATAAAAATATATAACTTTGTCAAAACTCTAATTCTTAAGTTAATTTTCAAGTTGAAGTTTGAAAATAAAAACCTCCATATTATCTGTGGAAATTAATAAGCAAAAAGCTCTTACTGTATTTTTACCACTGAAACTTTGATGTGACATTTGCATACCAGAATTCCTCTTAGTCATATAAAAGCTTCAGAAAAACAATTTGGCAGGCAACATTCCTGGTTTGTTGAGTAAACCAGCTCTCTTAAAGTTCATCAGAATTTCTCCCTAGAGATAGTTCAATTTAAAGTCAAAGAATTATGCAACAGTATTTCTTAAATCATCTTGAAGCCTCACTTTTTCAAACAAGATTTAGTAAAGTGACAAGACAATCTATGACCCAAGGCCCTTTAGAAAGAGGCATGATTAAATCTAAGTCTGTAACTAGTCCTCTTGAACTCAAATAGATGCTATATTTAAGTGTTATTAGAAGAAGAAAGAGCATTCTGCTATGTCAAGTCTGATAATGAGATCACAAGATTTAAATGATTGAGCTATCATCCCATACTAACCCTTAAACATAAAAGCCAATCTCACGTACTGCCCATTGGATAATTTTAATTCTTTTCCCCTTTTAATAACAGATGGAGTCTCATCATTCTATCTTAAATTTGCCTGATCTTTTCTATTAAAAGGCATAACACAGGCATTTAATGTTTCACTAACAAATATTTAATTTTCTGCGTTAGTTTTTTTTTATGACTGCTACCTTCTTTATGCTGAGTTATTTTGGAAATTTTTATCTAAAATGTTCCTGGAAGGAAATTTAATGGAAACCTTTCCCTACACAAAAGAATAGTATGATGTTTTTATTGAAAATACCCAGTTCTCAAACAAGCACAAAAGCCATCAGTTTAGAGGAGGCAGGACAGCAATTAGGCAACACCATGGGCAGGAAAGAGTAGCAGAAGCACTTTGTCTGGCAGTAGTTTAATTTTAGTGTGGTTTACCTGTAATTTGAAATTGCACCTGAAAGCTTTTTTTCCTACAGAACCTAAAATTGGGCCCATGCAGAAGAAACCAGGGCAACAACTTAGTTTGGTACAAGTATCAGAGATGTCTGCATTGCATTTAAATCGTCAGCTGTACCAGTGAACCATAAAGGAGCCAGGATGATCCTCCAAAGTGGTCAGTTGACATCTTCCCTTTTTAATGTAGGAAATCAAATGCAAAAACTACTCTGAGGAAATGCTCCATTTGCAAGTTCAAACACTCAAGTTCCATAACATCAAAACTCTTACTTTTTTTAAAAAAAAGAACATTACTCACTTCCTGTATGCACAGAAATTGATGTGATCTGTAAGGTTCAAATCACCTTAAACTTACAAGTCGCTTGGAATCACTGAATCAAAATCTGATTACATAAAGTGGAAAATTTTCCTTTCACTCTTTTCTTAGATCAGTTAAATCCTACCATTTGTCAACTAATATGAAGGTGATGTAATAAATGTCTAGGAACATAGGAACAGATAATTTTTCATATCTTGTTATCTATGCAATAACACTACCTCACTCTAAGATTTTTTACCTCTGTGAGACACTTCCACCACAATCACTGATGCATGTTACAGGAAGTGTAGTTTGGGTGACACATAGTAGTGGTACACAGTAGCATTGAGTAACTTTATAAACATATGTAAAAATGAAATTTTAAAATTCAGACCCCTCTGAAAATGGAGAAAAAAATGTGGTCTCTTAATGCTTCTTTGTAAATATTTTCACTGCTACAGTGTTTGACCTCTTGGACACTGCTTTTTCCTACCCTATCAGCTTGTCCTAACAATGTTTCCAATGGAACTATTTTTATGATCTAGTGCAGGACAAGGAATATGGGGGAAATATTGCAGCTTTGTCTCAAGCAAGAGACTTCCCATGTCCTCATGACTCCCACGCAGGAACTGTAACAGCTGTAACAGGATCGTCAGGGAAAGTCTATTTCATTATACTCAATGAGGTTGAAAAAATGACATTAGGGTACTGCCAGTTGTAACATGTGGCTTATTTAATTAGGTACAAGTAATGGGAGACCTCCCCAAATTAAATACATCTGAGACAATTACTACATACACAACATGAATGCTTGAGAGCTCTGATCTCCATATATTACCTTAAAATGTCCACGTGCAGCACTCTTACTCTCTCTTAATGGTTAGCTTGGGTGTTGCATGGCTTAGCCTGTGTAGGGAAGCACGTAATTACTACTACAGATGAAAAATAGTGGCAAACTGGGAGTTTCACTTCAACAGCTCACTTCTGATCTAGGTTAAAATGCTACCAAACACACATCCATACCTTCCGAAAAAACAAGGCCATCATCTGGCACAGGAAAGGAGACTATGCTTTGGTCGCAGGGTTAACTGGGAGGAATCCCTGACCAGTGGATTTGACCAGTTCTCTTTCTTTTATAGCAAATAAACTAATTTCAGTGACTTTATTAATCATGTACTTTAAAACCTTCATAATCCATTTGGATGATGCAAACGAATAAATGTTGCAGGTATTTAGAGGGCACATCACTACTGAAGCTCTTGTGTGCACTAATGAAATTTGGGATACTGTCACAAGACTGAAGGGTTTTTTAGGAAAAATGTGGTTTGCCTTGCATAGTATCACAAGATTTGGCGGGGGGGGCGGGGGGGGAAGTAGTTACATCATATTAAAATTTTACTTTATACATGCAGAAGGAAAGTTGCAAATCCACGTTAAGTACAACGCACGTCTAAGAAACTTGGGCAGCTTTTCACTCGGGACAATAATCCTCACCGGAACGCTGCTGACGTTCCATGACAGAGCAGAATGCCACCTAAAGCAAACGCCCCGACACGCTGAGCAGGCAGCCCCGAAGGAAGGCAGTGCAGGATAAATCGGCTGGCGCCGAGCTCTTCCCGCCAGGCAGAGCGCGCGCCGTGGGCCGGGGGAACGCTCCGCCCCTCACAGCGCCACGCGCGGGGTGAGGGGGCGGCGGGAGGCGGCGCCATTTTGGGCGTGGGGAGTCGGAGGCGCTGCCTCTCCCGCCGCCGGCAGCCGCGGCCTTGAGGTTCGTGTCCTCCCCGGCGTGTGGCTGAGGTGGTTGCTGCTCGGCCGGGCCGCGAAGGGAAGCCGCTTCTCCTCCGCCGCCAGCGCTGCTACCACCGACCTGTGCCACCACCGGGCCGGGAAGGGGCGGCGTGGGGATGGCGGTGTCAGCACGTAGGAGCCGGCGGCTGCTGAGGTTGTGTGACGCGGGCGCCGCGCTGGGGGAAGTGTTTGTGTGTGGGGGAGAGCAGTGGGCTTTGCACCGTGGGGAAAGGAGGGACGGGGCGGCTGATACACCTCCCCGAGCCATGAGACCGGTGGCCCTGCCTTCGCCTGGGACACGCCGCTGCCAGGCTGGTGTGGGAGCAGCGCCTGCTTCCCGTGCCGTGTGAGGGGCGCTGGGCTGTGCCCCTCATGACAGCCGTACCCACCGTGCAAGGAAAGCCAGCTGGTTCACCTGTCTGTAGGTTCTGTCAAATAGGCCTCATTTTTCCGTTTGGGAAAGGTATTGTGCAGGTGGAGTTCAGAGCCTTGAGTTAGTTAGTTGATCGAATCTTCTGGATGTTTCATAGGTCAGTTAAAGTGGTAAATAAGTCTGGCATCCCCGTGTGCCGTCTCAGGTTCAATGCTTACAACCAGTTCTTTACAGAAATTACACAGACTCGGACTTGCTCCATTCAAGTGAGAATGTCAGAGAGACTGCGTTTTCCTTGAGCGTACTTGCTCTGTCCTCACCAAGGACACGGGCGGATATGCTTTTGCGTGCAGCTTCACTCTCTCCAAGGTTAGTGAGGGAAAGTCTGTTAGAGATTAGCAAGAAAGGCTATTCCTATGTGGGACAGTCAAAGAGCAGCATTTTCTGTCAGTGGAGATCTTGTCATCCAGCAGGTGTTCACGTTTGCTGTTTTAATTCCACATCAGGAAATGGGGTCTGCTTAAACCCCATCCCAGAAGATGAGGACATAGATGCTAATAAAGATAATAATTTTTTTTACCCCAGTACTGGTTTTGAGTGGAGGCAGCAGGACATTTTTTTTCCAAATGGGGATAGAGTCAGTGAATATTAGTAATGTCATACTTGCTTTCTAATATACAAAAATGAAGTGTGAAGAAGCTGGAGGTATGCATACAGCATGTAAATCTTGATGAGAGAACATGGTGCCAATTCTGAGGAATAGACAGAGTTGCATGGCTGTGTTTATTCTGTTTATTATGTATTTATTGTAGTAATGCATTCTTCCAGGTACTAAAGTCAAGTGCAGACAGTAACATCTTGGTTTAGCCAGTTTGAAAGTGAGAATGGCAGGTTTCCCTTCCTTTGGATGGTAGGCCTAGAGTAACACCTTTTCTTGTCACTTTTGCAAGTGAACATGTTGGGATAATAGTTACTTACAAATTTTCCCATAGTAATACCTACAGATCCTTTTCAGATAAAGAAAAAAATTATTTTCTTATCCAGGATGAACAGCATGTGACACTTTGTTAATATTTAGTCATGAAAAGTTGAAATATTTCAGAAAACAATAGAATAAACCTTCCACTGGGAGAAATTTTGTGTTTGAGATTGCATTTATTTTGAGGGGAAGCGTTTGCTCTTTATTGCATACTGTGTAGACTGAAAATCCAAGAAATTCAGACTAATAGATGGATGATGACATGTCACAGTGGTTAGTGCCATCTTGCTTTGTAATAGCTTGTCTCCGAACCTGGCTAGAACTACTGGTTTAGTTCTTAGAATGCAATCTATTTGGGACAGGGATTTTTTTTTTTTTTTTTTGTGTGTGTGTTTTTAATTTTGGAAGATATACAAACAAGTGATCTTGGTCCCTAACAAAAGTTTGTAGTAGTTCCAAAACCAGAACCGTAATAACAGGTTGCAGCTTTGATTGTAAGTCTTACTTGACTAGTTCTAAATTACAAATGCACCCAGCACCTGATGGATTGGTGTTAAATGAGTTAATTGAGTTTGGTTCATGTCACAGAAAACAATCCTCATGGTTGAAGTATTTACATTTTTGTTGGTCTTATTAGTAGTGATGTCAAGCATCAGTCTGTGCATTGGAAATTGGCATATGCTTATCTTTAAAAGAGATTTCAAACACTTGGCAAAATAACAGCTAGTAGAGAGCTGTAGTAACATAGGTCAGAGATTGTTGATGTAATTAATTTTTCAAATAGTCACATTTTAAAAGCATGGTTTGTAAATTATTTAAGGCATATCATAAAATGTGACTGCTTGACTGATACAGCACTAATGCTTTTTACTGGAGGTGAGCAATAAATGATGGAGCAGTCTAGCTTAAACCATACTTGCAGTAGGTGATGTCTGTTTTTCTTCTGGGTGAGTACATTCTAGTTGTGACCATGGACAGTGTGGTGTCATAGGCCTGAGTAACTTCAGCTTTTTTATACTTTTATACTTTATACTTTTATACTTTACTTTAAAAATATGCATGCTGATAATGTATTCATTCTTTTTTCTAAGATGCTTCATGCTGAAAATACAGTAAGGTTCTTGGAGTGTCAGGACGAAATCGGAATTGAGCCGTGTTCTAAAAGAATGAAGTCAACAGAAGGGGCTTGTGAGAAACTCCCTGATGATGATGATGATGATAACAAAGGTTATCAGAAGAAAGTGGATGTTGAGAGAAAATCAAATGATTGGATACCTGCGTGTGCCTTGGATAACCAAGGGCAATGTGAAATGCAGAAGCAAGAGAAAACACCTACAGGTGTCTTGGGATCCTTGAATGAAGTTCTCCCTGAAAATAATCCAGTGCTTAGTCAGCCAGTTGATTCAGAAACTGTGCAGAATATAAATCCTCCTTTTACATCAATTAAATACTCTAAAGTTGAAGAACAGAAGGACCCTTTTATTACAAATAATGCTGATGAAGATAGTATTGAAAAAAGCAGTGCATCATTCTCAGTAAATAGAAATCAATCAGATGAAGACTTTTTTACAAGCAAAGATTTTATAGGACCTATTTACAAGCCTGCCGAAAGTAACAAGCAGGACAAATCTGGCAGTTGTGATGAATGTAGGAGCACTGGAGGAGATGAGAGTGAATTATGTGAAAAGAGATGTAAAAGAAAGGAGGCGAAGATGCAGGCTGCTTCTGCCACTGTACCAGAAATGGATGATCAGCTGGATCAGTTCTATAAAGAAATTCACCAGCTGGAAAATGAAAATTTAGATACTAATGTTCAGGAAAAAGAAACTGAAATTTCTGAGGAACAGCACTCTCCGTTTAACTCTAGTCAGGGCTCTCAAGAAAATTATCAACCTGTACTTTTGGGCAGTCCACACCCATTTTATGAGAATGGACAGTCTTCTTTGGGGGAACACAACAGTCAGAAAACAAACAATGAGCAGCAGTTAGTTGTGGAAACAGGTGGCTGGAAAACTGAAAATACTTTTAATGGCCAAGTAGATACATGGAACTGTTCAGTGCCTGAATTCAGACCTGCTTGGCAGACTAGAGCATCTTTCAAAAAACCTCAGGGACCTTTTTCTCCTAGATTCAGCCATCAATCCCATTTTCAGATATTTGATCCCCCACCACAAATCCCAAATGTTCCCCCTTCTCAGAATGGGGGATTTCCGTATGAAAGTTACCATGGAAATACTGATATCAACAGTCATGGTCCATTTCTTGATCAAAATACCAACTATTCTGGTCATACTGACATCCATACTGCTCAGGTCTTCAGGAATGGGAATAATGATCAGAATGGACTCCAAAGTAATGGTTTCTGTGAAACCAGAGAAGAGTGTTGGAATGATCCAAAAGCTGGCAGTACAGAAGGAATGCACAACTTTTCTTCGTTGCAGTTATCTGAAGAAAAATTCAGTTGTTCACAGAAATTGCTTCTAATCTTAAGAGGCCTACCAGGTTCAGGGAAATCCACACTTTCTCGGTAAGTGAAGACTTAAAGCTTGAGAAGTTCATTCAAGTAAAATTTTTTATGAATTTAAGTATATCTGTAAACACTAAGGAAACTTTTTAGTTTGTAAATTAGACTCTTAAAATGCAGTCATTTAAAGCTGTCATTTGTACTTAAGGAGTGCAAGTGACTGTAAATATTAAAAATATTTACTTGGGGGTTTTGTCTCCCTCAGATTTTTGATGACCAGGTGCTCCTCTGTGTTAAATTTGAAATGTTGAGCATCCATTAAATTGCATAGTCTTTTATTCTGAAATTTTCATACTAGTTTGTGGTAGTCTGCTGCTTTTTCTTAATTCTTAAATTCCCTAATTTAAAAAAAAACCTCCCATCAAGTCTAACTGTCAGTTTGACTGAACCAGAAGTCCTTTTTGATGCCCATGTAAAAATTTTCAAGCAGCATTAGAAGAATGCTGCTCTGAAAATACTTGGTTTTGTTGTATTGAAGAAACTGAACATTATCTCATTCCCTTTTTTCATAGTATGGTCTGTCAATTACTCTTTCTTATTTGTGAACAACACACAATAAAAGCATTATTTTTTCTTCCAAATATACTTGTTGAAGTCTGACAAAGTTAAAAAACAGATAATACCTCCAACTTGGATTTTCCCTTTGTGTTTTTTTGGCCTATTTTAAAAAGCACAAAAAGTGGACAGAACACAGATGGTACCTGTATTAAGTGAAGGTAAATTTCTCTTGTGTATATAAAAAAAGAAGTTGCTGAATCAGTACTTACTAATTGAGTTTCATCCAGAAACTGCATCACAGGATGTCTTCTGTAGTTATCATCTGTTGTATGTGAGGAGTCTGTGGGGTAGATACAGTCATCATGTTCTTATTTGTTTTTGGGTTTTTTTTTTTAATATGAAGGAGCAACATTCTATTAGTGGGTTTTTCCTGGTATTTAGGAGGCAGTCATCTCCATATTACAACTACAAATCTCTAATAGGTATTTTTCTTACATGTTTCAGTAGTTTTTGCTATAATTTTTTATAGTTATTGATTGCTGCATTTTGCAAGCCTGCATTTTTGAAGTTGCATGTCCCCATTTGGTATTACTGCAATAATTGCTTTAATATGTGAAGGCAACATAAAACATTTTAAAAATAACCCCGTGGAAAAAATGTTGCCTCATTCAGTTTAGAGATTGGAAAATACTTAATATGAAGATACAAAATATATTTGTTTTCCATGTTTGTTATGCTAAATAGTCTCTAAATCTTTCTCCAAATATATGACTCATATTATCTGAAAAATTCTAAATATCTTCAGGTTTTTAAGAGCACATGTTTCTGCTTTTTCTCATCTTTCATTAGTGAGATCAGTTACTAATTTTGTTTAGCAGATGGGAAAGTGGGCACTATGAGATCAAGGTTAAGAATAGTTACCAAAAGTAAGTGCAGAATTTGAACAGCATGGGGCTTGTTTTCCAGTGTATTCAATTACATGCAGTTTCATATGCTTAATGCTTGGTTGCAATTGTTAATTCCCATGAAATCACGGGTCTTGCATACCTTGGGAAAAAAAAAAACATCCCAGAAGTAATGGGTGCCGATGGGGAAGAGAACTTAATTATTAGTTAAGTCTTAATAAGCATGTTTTGAACTTGGTTTTCTATGTAACATCATAGAATTCTGTAGCGTACCCTAGGACAGCAATGATGTTATGGCTGATGCCATATTGGTACCCACAAGTATCTGCAGATACTTGCATTTTTGGCAGCTGCAGGCAAATCTTTACCATTTGTGCCAATAAAATAACTGTGAAGGAAAAGCAGAAAACTAGCATTGTCTGTGTGGATCAGCACTAGAGGGGAATGAGGTGTATCTTGCAAGTGGGTTTCCCAAGTGGGAAATGACAGCAGAGCCAGTAGCGAGACCTTGGAATCTCAAATTTTTATTTGTGTTTTGCTCTGAGTAAGGGTTTTTAAGTACTGACACTTTTCTTCCTGCTCACCAACTTGACTTGTGTCTGTCTCAAATCTTCCACTGAAGTTTGTTCTTGGTTTTGACTCTTTCATTCCAACTAAGCAGTTGGAATTATGGGCATGTTTTTTGGAAAAGAGTAGTGGATGTGAACTAGTTCATTGTTCTGCTTGGAAGAGGTCTGTCACCATCACTGGATTGGGTCAGGTGTCTTTGTCAGGCCTGAGCCTAAAAATGCCACAGAGATTTCTGTGGTCTCATCAAACTTGTCTGGTGCAGTACAAACCACCTAAGTAAGGAAGCTGTTCCTAATCTCCAAACTGAAGTTCTCAAGCCATAATTTGCATGTCCTGTGTAATAACATGTATTGTTACATATGAATGTGTATGAATATGGCTCATCTTCTATATAGCTTCCCTTCTGATAAGGGAGAGGTTTAGTCACTGTAATAGGTTGACACCAGACCTTTTACTGTCTCTGCTGCCAGACTAAACAAGCCCAGCTGCTGTTATAACCTCTCCTTGGATGTTGTATGCCTGTAGCCGTCTGTTCAGCGCTCCCATGTTTTTCAGGGTGTCTTTTGAACTGGGAAGTCCCATACTGGATACAGTATTTCAGAATTGACCACACAAGAGCCCGGTAAAGTGTGGGTGATACCTTCTCAGGTGATCTACGGGCCATGCTTTCTCTACTAAAGCCCAGGTTGTGATTTGCCCTGCCCTTGATGAGGGTACACCATTCACTCATCTCATTTGATCTTGGCTGTAATCCTCTGACTCTTTTCAACAGCTGCTCAGCCACTCACTTTGCTGCCTGTGCTGAGTCTTGGGTTTCATCAGTTGTATAACTTTACTGTTTCACTGTTGAGCTTCCTGGTGTTTTTCATAGCCCAGTTCTCTGGTTTCTCTGTGGCCTTCTGGATGGAAGCCTCACTGTTCAGCTCAGTGTTGAGCATCACTGCTAATCTGGTGTCATCTGCAAGTTCTCTGCCTCATCATCCAGGTTTATGATGAAGGTACTGAAAAAGCGATCTTACTGTATGTTGTTCTCCTTTGTTGTTCTCTGCTTGTTACTGGCTGGGAGATGGTGTTGGAAGCTTTGATAATTTCTGAGCATGCTGCATTCATCACTCATTGACAAATGAACTTGTTTCATCAGAGTGCGTTCTGGTCAGTAAAGAATGGTTTGTCTGTTGCAAACCCCACACTGGCTCTTCTTGGTTATCTTAATTTCCTTAACATGTTTGGAAATAGATTCTGAGGATGCTCTCCATTATTTCCAGGACAGAGCTTAGGTAATGTTGAGCAGTCGTTAGTTCTTTGGGTCTTTGTCTTTACTTGCCTTAAACATGAGCATAACATCAGCCATTTCTGGCTCATTGGGCAGCTCCCCATATCTCATGGGTTTATTTCCGGTGTCCGTCTGACTTAGACAATCCTAGCTGCTGAGGTTCATACGAAATCTGTTTCTTAACCTTCTATTTCCATTTTTGTTTTCTAGTTCATATCCAATCATGGCTTTTCGTCTGTGCTCACTAACTCCATATCTGCTTCTAAATACTAAGCTGATTTCTTCAGTTCCATCTCCATCCCATTTCTTCCCAGACTCATTTTCTCCCTGTTTCAGTCAGTGGTATTACCTCCCTCCCAGTTTCATTATACCAGTGTCTTCCCTCTGCTTCACTCTGCCTTGGCCCTGTTTCCCAGCTCTACTTCCAGTACCAAGTTGCTTGTTCCAGTGTTTATACTACGATGCTTCCTGTGTCCTCCTACTTTAGGCCAATTTTGTTCCTTCTGTTGCCATTTGTGTGTTGGAAGAAATGTGTTCTTACAATGCAGTATTGGTCCTGAATCAGCTTCCTGCCACTGCCAGATTGCTCTGTTCAGGACTGGGTTTGCTGTGACAATCATGAGTTCTTTTCACTACTATTTGCTGTGCGCATGACATTTAAAGCTGTATACCTTGGGCAGGTTTACAAGAAGTTTTTGCAGGGCAAACAAACACATGTACTTTGTCAGATTTCACTTCCTCAATCCAAAGCTTCTCAGACAAAAGCTTGGAATAACAAAATACTGTATAAATGCTTTGGTTTTTCCTTGGTTTTGAGCATTTAGTTAAAAATGTTTGAAAGCAGTTTGGCCAGGCAGATACCCAGCAGTGATAGCTTTAGCCCAAGTAACCAAAGTCTGCTACATTTAGATAATAATGTGATCTTACAGTCCTGGTAAAAGTTACAGGAAAGAGACGCTATTTTTAAAATATTTTGCTACTGAAGCTGGCAGCAGTTGCAATTTGCCTTTTCTCCATAAATATCTAAGCATTAATTTGAATAAAAGAGAGCTTAATGAAATTGAAAGAGCACATATTGGTGTCATTTAAGAAGTCTGTTTTTAGTTAAATCAAGTAATATATAAAGACAGTTGTCTTTCTCTGGGGCCATTTTTCCTCAGAGGAAAATCTGAAGGGAGGAGTTAAGAGTTAATCTTTATAGCTGAATGTAGAAGCAGTGGTGTGCTGTTGTTTCTAATTATGTTTTTATTTAAACAGTGTTATAAAAAGCACTTTTAGAGGAGTGTTTACACAGCTCAGTAATGCTGCATATTCTGAAACTATAGTTATTGCCTACTTTTTTCCTCATCCACAATATGCTAGCTATTTTAAATAGGTGAATTATTACATTGTGAGTTATCTTTTTTTTATTATAAAATCATTTATCAAAGTAGGCTAACCAGGGTACATATTTAGGGAATGTTTTAAAAGGGTTTGTGTGTGTGCATGCATGCCCACATGCATTGGAAAACGTGTATTGGTTTGCTGAGTAGTTAATATTTTGGTTTCAACATGAGATTTTTGTATGTCAGGATAATAGCTTCTATTAGATCTGGTAGCATTTCTGGAAAAAGTAGGTGATCTGCTTTCATTTCAATGTCCTACTGTGTTCAAAGGTGCTGTTTGCTTGGAGGGAAGGTTTAGGGTGAAAAAGATGTATTACAGCAGTTGGATAATACACTACTCCTTTCAAGCATGTGCACATACTGACTAACCTGGAATTTGACTGTCACTAGAAATACATTTATCTTCTTTTCTTTTTTCATCTCTTAAAAGTGGAATATAATCTCTCTGGGTTTAGGTAGTAGTGATGCTTTCTTTCTATAGATATGCTTTTTGTTCTTTCTGTTCTCTAGTTCGTGGGCCTGGGATAAATTTTATTTCCAAAATTGTGTTAGAGGTAAATGAACTATTCCATGTGATGTCTACTTATAGTTTTCTACTTTGAATTTTAGAAGTTTAAATGCTAGGAATTCTCAAAGAGGTGATTGTCAGGCTTTTAAAATGTTATGTTTTATGATTTGATTTCACAATGTAGGAAGAGGTTCTAGTCATTATTGTAGTATTTGGAGTTTCAGTTCATAAACTCTTGACTTTGTGATAGCACGTGTGTTGTGTATGGGGTGAGGGCTCTGTTACTCTGGCGTCTTTGGTAACTACTTTGCCTTCTCAGATTCTGTGGGTTTAGGATTACTGCAAATACAGTTTACTGTATTAAATTTGTTGTTTCAGTTATACTGGTTATTTAATTGTGGTGTGTTCTGAACTGCAAGGAATACTAACAAAAATTTCAAGAATACACTTGGTTGATGGTTTTGCAAGATTTCTGAACCCTTGTCACCATATTTCTTTATTGCTGCTAATGTTTGGAAGATACAACAGAAGAATTCAATTGAGTTATTCTCCAGAACGTGAGCAAATAGAAGACAGTTCTTAGAAATAAAAATGAAAATCAATGTCTCACTAGGGCTGATTTGTCAGTTCATACATTCCTGTATATACCTGGTGCTCAGGCCCCTAGGAACTGTACAGGTGTGTCCATCTACTCAGCCAATAGAAGAACCCCAGATATTGTTTGCTATCTTTTTTTATTAAGGCAGATGGTTCTTTAGGATATGTGTTATATACATTCAGCACACAAGGAGTGTGTGTGGAAGATGGATCCGGTTTTTCTTGCATTAATTGGCATGTAGCATACTGTAAATAACATAATTGAGCCATGTGTGAAATCACAGCCAAGTAACTTAATGAATATAAATTTGTTAAATATTTTATACAAGAGAGGAAGAGGGATAAAAAATTGCTGCTGTGTGTGGTGTATGATTTACTGGTGCTGTTTGATCTATTTAGCACAAAAATAGATGATTAATCCTTCTGCACTATTCTGAACCAGTGTAATACACACCCTATTGAGAGATCCAGGCTCTAACAAAAGTAATAATCTATAATTTACATAAATATGAATTTATAATATTTGTAATAAAACCTATTATCAGTGTTCAAATAAAGTGGCTGAACTTTAAGTGTATCATGCTCTGCTTTCTCAAATAGCTTTGCTGTTTGTCCTGAAGCAACTATAACAGGCCTGTTGTAGGTGGCAGGTGGCAAAACACAGCAAATTCCTTGTGTAGGAATTGCATTTAAGTGTCTCTTCCTGCAGGTATATATGGGAAAGCTTGGTAGCTTAGAACTAGCATATCTTTGTTCCCCAAAGTTATTTGGGATCTGGCCAATTCTTTTTTATTCCTGCCACCTCAGCAGTAGTGCAGTCCCACATACTGCTAGTGCTGTTTGGCTTTTGTAGCCTGTGGGTATGTTGCCTGCTTCTGAGCTGGAATAATTGCCTAAATTTCTATAGGTATCTGAGTGTTGCAGTGGACTCTGCATGCTCTGTGGCACTAACTGGCTTTTTCTGTTTTCGGATTTAAATATGCCATAGAATTAAAAAGAGACAAGGAGTCTCTTAAAGTCCAGTCTACACCTATTCTGTAGGCTGGACTTTAAACAGAATTGTACTGCTGTCTCAGTTATATAAGGTTTTCCTTTAAACACTAATTTCCAAGGACTTTCTGAAACTAGGTTTACATTTGACAGAACGGGGAGTTCTCATGATCAGATTGCTTTCTAGACATATTTCCATGTGAGGATTGAGATGGAAAATGTTAGCAAATATATTGAATTCTTATGAGGTACTTACTGTAGTATAACTTCAAAATTAGATGGATACAAACATCTCTTGGGAGTGGAGAAGAAACAACAAATACAGAAATAGTAGAGAAAGAAAATATTGCTTTGATTTGGATTAGAATTATTGGTAATATATATAGGTGCGCTTTTTATAAATCTGTCTGAAGTTTGCAAGAAGTTCAGAAATAGGTCACAGTTCAATTTATTTTAGTTGTATTTTTTAAATGTGTTTATCTAAAAATTAAAAGTGAATATGTTTCTGTGTTTTCCTTTAACAGTGTTCTGCTTGGTCAGAGTTGTGATGGTGTTGTGCTCAGCACCGATGATTATTTTCGTCAGCAGTATGGATACACCTATAACGCTGCTCAGCTTGGTGACGCCCATGAGTGGAACCAGAAGAGAGGTTGGAATGAATAAAAGGCATCCTTTTATAGAGGAAATAGAAGTGTAGCATAACATGTATGAGTATTAATATAACATGTATGAGTATACGTATTTTAGCACAGCATATATAGAAGTGTTTCAAGTGGCTTTTATACTTTAATTCATGTGTGATGTATGCATTAAATTTTGAACTTCTACAAGGTTCAGAGTTAAAAATGGATAACCTTGTTTCTTTTGGCATCAGGTTCTTGTTTCTACTTCTTTTCATTCCTGCCTGTACCTTTTATTCTTACTCTCAGAACAGAGTGTTTCAGTCAGAGTAGATTAGTGAAAGAAAATCTGAGGCAGATTTTTTTTGTTTGAGTTGTATGTGGTTTATTAACTTGCACAATTTTTCATTTCAGCAAAGCAAGCAATGGAGCAGGGAAAATCTCCAGTTATAATAGACAACACTAATACTCAAGCCTGGGAAATGAAGCCTTATGTGGAAGTGGTAGGTTTTCTTGCGTGATTGTCACCTGTAACAATTTTTCAGACTTACCCTTGCTGCATGGGATAAGTTGATATGTTTTGTCCAGAAACATTTTTACTCAAGTTTTTAAAGAGAGAGACTGCTTATTGGTAATGATTAGTAACTGGTGTGACAGTGGTTTAGATCAATTCGAGAACTGACTTGATTTAATTTGCTTATCCTCAAATGAAAGCTGAGACAGGCTGGGTGTAAGTGAAATTCAGCATAATACCACAGCAGAGTATGCTGCTGCATTTGTTTATTATATTTGTCTTTTTTTTTTTTTTAAGTTTTATGTGATCATGATACATATCACACATATTTCTTTGCTTGCTGCAGGCTCTGGAAAAAGGATACAGAGTGGAATTCCATGAGCCAGATACTTGGTGGAAGTTTGATCCTGAAGAACTAGAAAAGTAAGATTTCTCTTACAGAAATCATGGTACTTCATAGGGATAGATAGGCAGATAAATATGAATGCATAAATATATATGCAGTAAGTTATATTTTATTAAAAATATTTTCTCAAGTTCTTCACCAGTAATATGAAACGTATTTCATTTAAATAGGCATTAAAAATGGAAGTTTTATGGATAAACAAGTATACCAGCTCCATCTTGTTGGCCCAAAATGTCGATACTAAAATTTTATTGGACGTGTGTAGATGTGACTTAGAGTACTGCTGAACATGGATCATTGAACTTCTGGGTTCTGAGAGTGCTTGGAAAGCTGCTTATTCTTCCTGGTTAATGTCCTTCTTGTCTCAGATACACCTCCTTTAGGAATCTGTGAGGTATCAAACCAGCTCAAGGATATTTCTTTGTTTGAAAAGTAGTGTAATATTTTCACAGTTGATGACAGAGTTCTCTCACTAATTTTTGTTTTATATACATCCAGCTGACTTTGCCTCTTAATTGTTTCAGCTTTGTAAAGTAGCCCCTACTGTGCATGAAATACGTGTATTTATATATATGTATAATGCTTGCATTACTGACTCGAGCTCTTTTGGGTTTATACATGTACTAAAGTTTTCACCTTTACTCACTTGTTTCTAGAGATGGAGTTCTCTCTCTGTAGAATGATAGTAAGTTTTTCTAGTTTTGCTTGCAGCACAGCCAAGTTAGGAATCTTAGTAATCAGGCACTTAAGATTTCCATTACAGAAAACAGACTAATTTTCCAGGAAAAGTCATGTTTCCAGATGGTCTTAATAAGCAGCAGGATAAACTGTTGTGTTGTTACTGTTGAGTTTTATTGTTCAATTATTAATTGTAGGAGTAAATTTGAAACCTTTCCCAGAGCAAACCTTTGAACTGTGAAGTGCTGTTACCAGTTTCTAGAAGATTCCTGGAAATATTTTAGCAGTTTTGGTTGCTTTAAATATTTAAAGAGAGGCCCATTGCCTGGAAACTTTATTTTTTGAGAATTTAAGAAAGGTGGTGATGTAAGTTTTCAGTTTTTTCTTTAGTTACTTTGGGAGAGGGCTCCTCAGTTTTTTGTTTCATCAGCAAGCTTGCTGAGGGTGCAGTGGTGAAGAGTAGTATGGAAGTGTTTATTAGTGGCAGAACTTTGATTTTATCAATAGGTTCTGTGTTCCTTCATGCAAAACAGTCTTCCTCCTCCTATCTGTTAGGAGCTTTTGCTGGTATGTCTGCTTTGGTTCAGATAGATGGCTTTATGCTCTCTCAGCATAGCGAGCTGCCAAAGAATGAGTGAAGACATGCCTGAAGAGGAGATACCGGCATTAAATGACATATGCAGCAAATTGATTTCCTTTTTTAAATCAGTTTCTACGCTTGATGCGATTTTGCTGCTGGTGATTTTATTATCCTGCCTTATTCTGCAAGGAAGAGTACTTCATCTTTTATGAAGTGATTATGCACAAGTCCATTCAACTGTGGATGTGTGTGGACTTTATGTCCAGTACACTTGAGCTGTAATTTTTTTCTAGAAGTACTAAGATAGTAAAATATTAAATATTTTTTAGGAAAATATTGAATAACTTTCTGCTTCCAACATTTGGCATTAAAAGAATTGCTCTTCTCATTTTTTGTCTGTCACAAATGTCAAGTGCTTTATAAAATTCACATATTTCTAGAGGGTTGACTTTTTTCTCTGTCATTAACCTTTTTCATATTTGTGAATAAAATCAAAACTACTAAGACTCACCAAGTGATTAGTTCAACATGCAGCTGCTCCTGGGCTGCTTTAGCACAGTGTAGAACTTAAAAGCATTTAAACAATGAGCCACATGCGATGATCTCTAGCTTCTGGTGTTGTCTCAGGGAAGAGTGTTTGTGAGGGAAATGCTCTGCTTAAGCATTTTCTTCACAGAAAGCAAGCTGCTAAAATACCCCTTTAAGGAGCCAATGTAATTTTGAATAGTTCTGGGATCACCAGTTCTGCTTCCATTCTGAATGTGAAATTAGTGTGCTACCTGCAGTGTGCTTTGAGCCCTTGTCAACTTGATACTAATTTCTTTGTTGTAGTAATACTCATAAAGTCCTGAGGGGACTGGGTGGTGAGAAATCAGTCTTCTAAAATATTTCTGTATGGAATATTGTATTTCCTGTATAGCCTCTTTGTTCCCACTGTTGATTTCTCCTCTGTAGAACTGATCAAGTTGTTAAGGCCCATGCAGAAAGCAAAGATGCAGAAATATATTCCCTATTGGTTTGTTGTGGACATAATTTAGCTTGGACAAGGTTTCTTGACAATAAAAAGTATTGGGTTATGATAAATGCTTGTTTATGCTATCCAAACCTTTTGTTTCTGTTTTATGTCTCTTCTTTCAGATTCATTTCTGTTACAGTTCTCTTAATTCTCTGACATTCAGTTTGTGCATGAGGCTTGTGGTTTTCTTCTGGCAGAAATTCTCTGCTAACATGGATTTTAAGGTCCTATTCCATAAATACTGAGGAGATTATACATACTCTAATGTGATGTGCTCAGGTTCTTAATAGACCAAGTTCTCCCTGAGAGTAGCTGGTTACTGAGCACTGCAAGAATAGGACAGCACTTTTGATACCTTTTCCCTTACATGAGTTTCACTACATTTCTGAATTGACAGCAAGTGTGAGTTACAACTAGTAGATTGAAGTGTTGTGAGTGTGTTGTTCTGGTTCAAAACTAAAGTCGCTTCTTATTCTGTAGAGACGTTTCTTGATGAGAAAGTATTCTGTCATTAAGTCTTGAAATGTGTAGTTGCATATTTTATGCTAGTTTGAACATTTCTTTCATGAGTAGTCTGTGCTATTACTCATCTCTACTCATGAGCTAGTATACCATGTAAAATCTGATTAATAAATAGTAAAATCTTTCTAGGGTATTTCAGGTGCATGGTTATACTGAATAACATCACATTTGTGTATGAAGAAGAATAACTGTATTGTTTACTGTTACTCAATATATGCAGCTCTGAATTGTTAAAATAAACCCTAATGCAAGTTGAGTACCTTGAGAATGAGGATATAGTGTAATAAAAGCAAGAAGAAGAATTGAGAATTAGAGGGTTTTTTCTTAGAGACTGTAACATGCAACTTTACACATACATATATATATTTACTTACATGTAACTGTATATAACTATAAACATACCAGATAATTTATTGAAATTTTTGGTTTTCTAGGAGGAATAAGCATGGAGTCACTCGTGAGAAGATTGCTCAGATGTTGGAACGATACGAATATCAAATATCCATCCCTATTGTCATGAATTCAGTGGTACCTCCCCACAAAAACACTCAAAGACCACCTCTGCAGAGAAGACATAGGTGGGGAGACAATACAGACTCATGGAGTTCTTTCAGTATTTCCAGTAGCCAGTAACACAGTGGCAGTCAGTAAAATAAGAATCTGTTATTTGCCTTTTTAAAACACATCATCACCTCTAATAAAGTAGTGATTTATTATGTTTTAAATAGGCCTATTTGAAGATCCATTTTCTTCTGGAGGATGTTCTTTTTAATGGACTTGCATGTAAATAAAATTGTACATTTAATGGTTTTTAAAGCTATTAAAGTTGTAAGACCTTGGATTTTAGTAAAATATTTAATATAGTATGGCATATAGCAGAGTCTTTCTTCTGAAATCTAAGACAGTGATGTTATATATTAGATAACTGTTGAGCAGTTTTTTTAAAGAAGGGTTCATATTAAGGATCTTTTAAAAGAGAAGTAAAGCTCAAAAAGAAGAGTTTATTTACGTAATAATCAATTTTAATGATAGTTATTCAGTCTTCTTACCTTTTTTTGAGATTTTAAGCAGTTATGTTCTGGATTGTCCTTTAGTTCTATTTGGCATGTATTGCCAATTGGCAAAATTTTGGCATGTGTTTTTTGATCTCAGTTAAGAGGTTTAATTTTTTTGTTGTTGTTTTCTTGGTTTTTTGGGTTTTTTTCCCTTTTTTTTGGTCTCAGAAGTTCATGTGCAGTTGAAGCAACATTCTGCCAGTACAGGATTCACCAGTATAAACTGTGCAACTTGAATTATTTTTTTATTTGTTCTCATCAGTAATATATAAACTATGATGATACTGGCACCACCAACTTGTTTTGTGCTGATTGAAAAAAAACCCCTAAATTTTATCACTAAACCACTGAAATTTCACAGCTGTGTCTTTCTAGGTCACTTTCTTTCATTTGTGATAAAAATGAAGTTTTAAAGAATTAGGCTGTCAATTCCCAGTCCACAGTTATGATGAATCAATTCAATATAAATAGTGGATATAGTTCTGTAAAACCATCTTGCGTTCCTAATTTTGGCATAGCCAACGTCATCTGTTTAGCATGTAACAAAGAATGAGCCAGCATGGAGACTGACTAATTTACTGCTCTTTTTCTCTTAAAAAATATTATGAATTTGTAAGTGTTCACTTTGCCTTTTTTCTAACAGCTTGCTGTATTAATAAAATATATTTGTTATCAGTATTGTTGAAGTAGTTCAATGCAACAGTTTCTATTTTCAGGCTCGTAGGATTTTATACAGATGAGCATTATTACTAACCTGCTAGCTGAAATAACCTAACTACTCTTAACTTATACACTGAATGACCAAACGTTGACTAGGAAATTTTGTCAAGAATATGAGTATGTAATGAAAAGAATTTAGATGGTTATGTACTACTCATTTTGTGTCACAGCATCAGAATTTTGAAAATTGCAAAACCAACACAATTTTTTTAATTGTAGACAATTTTTTTGATAGGCCCTAAAAATTACTTCGTCAATAAAGTCTGAGTACCATGAGAGCTGAAAATCCAGGTATATAATGAAGTATCTTTTTGTAGTTTTCTACACCTATTGTGCAAATTCATGTTTTAATTGTTTGAAACAGAATTTAAAATGTTTCACCAGCACATGCATTGTTAATACATTGAGTCATGTGTACGTGCAGAAAAGAGACTCCCTAACTATATTCATTATCTTCCTTCATTGTCTGTTACTCATATCAAGTATTTACTGTATTTTAGTTTTCATTGTTATCTTTCCGTGTCTCAAAAGAATCATGGATATCATTGTAAATGCTCAGCAATACTTCAATTATGCCAAAGTTTTTATATTTAAACATGAAAGGACATTTCAAGTGTGGGGAAGATAAAAAGGTTTTAGACTTATTTACTCTATTTTACTGTAAGCTATAACTCGATAAAATTTATTGAGGCCTATGTCATATTCACACAGTGCTAAGGCATGGCAAAAAAGAGCTGATTATTGAAGATTGAAATGGGATTGTTTAGCAGTATTTCTTTTAATAGGTACTAATTTGTACTGTTCTAAGACGGTGCAGCTTTTCTTGTGATACCTTTTTAATTATTGGTGCATGGGAGTGTTTTTGCTGTGCTAAGCATGCTGATCAGTTGGCCTACAATTTGAAAAGGACACTTAGGAAAGGGAAGCTTTGCAATTTTTATATCAAACATTTGTAAATTGCTTCATCTGTACAGCTGTATTCTAAGGTAAGTACATTGACATGGTAGGTGAAAACCCACTGGAATTACTGTCAGTGTAACACTTCTCTGTTTCTTAGTATAATACTTTATGAGGATATGACAGTCACAGATCATGTACAGACATATATCTCAGAAACTGATTTTACAATATACTATTTATAGTTAAAAATATGTTAAATACATGTTACAGGTACTGAATTTCTCATGCCCTCAAAACCAAGGAAAACTGGTATTTGGTCAAAATGTGCAAGAAGGGTAAGAACTTGCTGCTTAGCTAGACAGGGGATCTGAAAATTCTTACTGTCTGTACTTTCTGTACAGTACTTCTGTTGATGATGATAATGTAAGTAGAATGAAAGTTTCCCATTGTCCACTTTTAAAATAAATTCCTAGTTCATCATAGTTCATGAAATAATAATGTCAAGTTGGGTTTTTTTAAAAATTTAACTAATGCATAGAGCCATAATATTATAAATAAAAGTCCTAAGTTTCTCCTGCATACTTGAAACTAGTGGGATGTTTGGTAAGTAAATTTAAGACTTAACTTTTCTAAGTATGAAATTTAAATGAAAATTAATTTGTAGAATATACATAAATTGGTTCATTCTCAAGGCATCAGTATAGCAGACCACTTAGTACCAGCTGTATAGGAAAAAGTGGTTCTGGTTTTACTGCTTCATCTAAGCTGCTGTTTCCTGGTTTTTTGGTTTACGTCCTGAATTACCAAAAGTTTTCATCATCATTCTTTGGGTGATTTTCCTATTTTAATTTTGTATAGTTAAGAAAAAATTTACCACCCTGAGACCAAATCCTAAAAAACCTCTGTACTGGTTTTGAGTGGGATCAAGTTAGTTGTCTTCAGAATAGCTGGTCTGGGACTGTGTTTTAGATTTGCCCTGGAAACGTATTGATAACACAGGGGTGTTTTTGTTACTGCTGAGCAGTGCTTACACAGCATCAAGGCCTTTCTGCTCCTCACAGAGAGTTGGGAGGGGACAAAGCTGGGGCAGCTGACCCCAGCTGACCAAAGGGAGATCCCAGACCTTATGGCATCACAGCCAGTATATAAAGCTGGAGGAAGAAGGAGTGAGGGGGCTGAGAATGGTGGTGGTTGTCTTATGAAGTAACAGTTCATGTGATGGAGCCTGGCTTTCCTGGGAGATGGCTGAACACCTGCCTTCCTGTGGGAAGTGGTGAATGAATTCCTTCTTTTGTTTTGCTTGCATGTGCAGCTCTTGCTTTACCTGTTAAACTGTCTTTATCTCAAACCATGAGTTTTCTCACTTTTACCCTTCTGATCCTCTTCTTCATTCCACCAGGAGAGAGTTGAGTGAGGGCCTGTGTGGGACTGAGGTGACAACTGGGGATAAGCCATTACAATTTGGTGTAGCACTGCTAATTTTTTTAAGATGTGATGTTAAATTTTCCTGTGAGAAATCCTGTCTTCTGTTCTTGCAGCCATACCCTCTTGAGGTTAATTTTAATCTATTTTGCCATGATGCATAATTCTTTAAGCTTTTTGTGTTTAAGAAGAAGGCCAAGATTTCATCTATTGTAACCTTTTGCAGAGATGTTTGTTTTTCGGCTAATAAATCACTGAAAACAAGGCTTTTTCTAGCTGAGATAGGACCCATAACATTTATATTTAATTGTCTTTCCTGTTGTAATTTAGGCTGCTGGTATTTTCTTCTTTTAGCTGAACAGTAATTTTCATTCTCAGTGAAGTGGAAGAATTCTCACATTCATGTCTAACATGTAGTTTTAACTGCTGCAATCACATTCTCTGGAGGAAATGTTCTTGCTCAGTGCTGGTAAATCATGGAGATGAGGTGACTAGTATATGTTGAGACTTCAAAAGAACAGACACATGTGTTACAATTCCCTGTAAAAAGCGTTAAAAAGACAAGTGTTGAAATTAAATTGAAAGTAAGCCCTCGCTTTAAGTGATCAGATGTTTCATGTGGATCAGATGTAGAAATATTTCCCTTCAGGATTTCTAGACTGATGCTTGTCTCATTTTAGTGTTTATGTTCTCATCCTTTTGAAGTAAAAGCAAGAGCAGAGAATAAAGCTCTATATTAATATCCTAGGTGAAAATCTTGTACATCAAATTTCTTGTGTTTTTTTTTTCTTTTTATAGGCTAATGGGTTGAAATTAGCTTCAAATCTGCTTATTTTGAGTTCACAGAAAAATGTGTGAAAATATAATTGGTCTTATTTTGAAAAAAAAGTAACAGTTTGTCAAGGTCTGATCATCTCAAATTTGTCTTAATTTATTGCTGTAGTAATGGAGGTTTTTGGTGTTTTTTGGTTGAGGTATACTGTCAGTGTAATTCTAGATCAAGGATAAAAAGCAGTGAATTATTTTGTCTGGAACTGGTCTTTGCAGTTTGCTTTTAGCTGATAGTGCTGCCACTTCATTTCTCTGGTAGGCAGGCAGTCCTTGACCATGATATGTGTACCTTACTGATTTATAGTGTTCTTGTAACAATATCATGTTGTGCCAAGCCAAAATATGTCCATGAAAAACTAAAACAAACAAAAAAATCAGTTGTACTTGCAGTCTTTTTAATGATGTTAAATTTTTTGGTTTGTTTTGTTAGTCCAGTTTAAACTACTGATTTTAAAAAGGCTGAATTCTATCGGTCATGTTGTTTAACCTCTTTCTAAATTGCTAACAGACTAAGAAGTGCTGCTTTAGCTTACTGAGTAAACATTTGCTTATTTCTAAGGAATGTATTGTATCATTTACAAATCAGTCTTAGTCATAGACCCATAATCTTGTGGGCTGTTATATTATTCATGATACTTTTAATAATTTTT